CAGGAATGGTGGCAATTATTCTCGGAAGAAAGTGAAAAACGTTCACATCTTTCTCCCTCCTGGAAAGGCGGAGGGAGAGTAACACCTGGTTTTTACGGGGTGACTTGCCCTGGAGGCCTGGTGAGTGAGCAAGGCCTCACCTCTGAGTCCGAGTCAGATGAGCTGGAACTGGAGGAGCTGGAAGAATCACTAGAGCTGTCCGAGGCGATTCCTGTGGATTCCTGAAGGTCCACGGAGTCAGCCAGGACCGCCAACTCGGGGTGCTCTTGCTTCAAGATCCTGAGAGACAAGAAACGCTGTTCTCAGTGCTGGGAGAGGCAACGACACCCACACACAATAACCCAGACTCAAAGCTGAGCCCTGTCTCTCTTAGAAGTGCCTGGGAATGCCAGGTGCCTCGTTCAGAATGGGTGCTGGACGCTGGTGAGGACACACGAATCCACAGGCTGGGAACAAAAGCCCTAACATGCTGCTCAGGCTTTTCTGAAAGGAAAACTAGCTACACGAAATTTATTACCACCTGTGCAATGAGCCAGCCGTGCTGCCTACACGCAAGGTACGTTTCCTTGAGTTGGTCTTAGTTTTATCCCCTTGGGAGAAACAGTCTCTCTTGTTTTTTTCCTGAACTCTTCCTAGCTGATTTTTTGGGAACCTTTCCTTTCCACAGCACAGCACTTGACAATTGGAGTTGGGCTTGGTTAAATTCTACTTGTAAGCAGAAACATCTAGGTTTGTAACAAATAAGAAGCGTCAAGTAACAGAGAGGGTCCCCCCTCACTCGAAGATAAAACTGCACTGGACTTTCAGAGGCAGCAGCCCTCCCCTTAGGAACCTAACCTGGCATCCACTGTAACCAAGGACAAAGACCTGCTGTATGGCAAGGCCTTCAGAATCTAAATCGCAGCACGCAGCAGCCTACGGGATGGAGTAAGTGGGCCTCAGATGCCCAAGAGTCCGGGGAGAACAAAGCCACCACCCTTGCTGGCCCTCTCAGCAGGGAGGCTGAGCACTGAACAAGCCAGAATCCCTCTCTTACCCCGAGAGCTGGTCCCTCCAGGTCAGGGTTGGGACACAGTGGCACGGGGTGGCTGGGGGTGGCTTGCACTGCCGCTGCCCGTGCTGTATCTGTTCTGTGGATAAACAGAGGAGCTAAGTCTCCAGGGCAGTCACCTCACTCACAAGAACTGAAGGTAATAAGTTCAAATGGGAATAATGCTTCTGGGTAAGGAAAAGAAAGAACCAAAATAAAACCCAAGCAAAATGGCTTCCTTTGCTAGTGCTAGCTTTGGGGAAAAAAACAAAAACAAAATACAAAAAAAACAGAAAACGAGACACAATCCCAATTATGACCATGTTGTGACTGACTGATTTTGATCCACATGCAGAGTCTTAGCCTGTCACCTCGAGGCTGCCAAGCATCCTGAGAACTAGCCCTGACCTTGGACGCACTCTCCTCTACCTATGGGGCTTTGCAGCCCCAGCTTGTCCCAGGCCTGTCTAAAGTCAGCACACGTTATTGTAGCAGTGGACTCTTTCCACTTTATCTCTGGGGTAGAAATTGGAACAAAGCAAAAATAAGAAAAAAAAGTCTCTCACCTATACCATTTCCTTGATAACTTTGGCCTCCCTCTTACCGTCTTGTGCCATACAACAGGGAAGTTGGTGCTGCTGGCAAAATTCTGGGTGATGGCAATGGTGGTATCAAGATTGAGCACAACGTGCCACCAGCCTCCTGAAATCCAACAAATAAACAGTTAAACGAGGTTTGGTTCTATACACAATGGCTGTATAACATAAACTTCAAATTACATAACACATAACATAAACTTCAAAAACAGGGGAATCCTATCCCCAAGGGAGAGCCTCAGAGACACAGGACCCACAGTGGTAAATGCTTCTCCTGATCAGGAATCACAAACGACTTTTTTGTGTAGTTTTCTTGGAGCACAGCCATGTCTGTTCGTTTACAGACCGTCTGTAGCTGCTTTCCTGCTACACGGGCAGAGCTGAGCAGTTGCGACAGACTGTCTGGCCTGCAGTGCCTAAAATATTTACTCTTTGGCCCTTTACAGAAAAGTGTGTCGACCCCTGTTAATCCAAAGCTGTGACCAAAACTGTAAAGGTAGCAAATTCTTCAGTTTCTAGGAGGAGGAATCCTATCTTAAATATCCTCACTCCCAACACTTAGCATAACAAAACAGAGTGTACTTTCCAGGTGTCGGATTTCCTGCCTCTTGGCTCAAAGTCCCTATTTCCTGACTCAACTCACCCAGTGCTACACTATATCAAACCCATTGACAGACTTCCACAAGTCACTGCACATACACAGACACCAGGTAACTGGGGGGATAAAGATAAGTAGGATCTTTACAGACAGAAAGTTTATCAATAGTCAGTACACATTTAGGTTACAAGAAACATGGAGAGCATGTCCCTAAGCACTTGACAACATGGCAACCTATCACTGTCAGAGGTGGGCACTGGTCAGTTCACTTAGAGTCAGCACCCAGAGATTTCTCTGACTTCCTCTCTATATAGTTCTGCTCCAAAACGACTAATTACTGAAATCAAAGAATGTACTTTCTTTCAGCTCATCTATACCTGGTACAAAGACAGTCTCTCCTGGTTTTTGTAAGATTTCCAGGGGTTTGAATTCGGGGGGCCAGGTTGGAAGCTGTGTCCGGGGATAAATAATATTAAACCAGGTAATAGCTTCATCCTGCTGGTTCCCTCCTTCTTCACGGGTCACCTTGATGAGTTCCCTGGGCGTGCTGGTAGGGAACAGGCACCAGCGCTTGTGGCCCTGAACTAAGGCATTCCAGGCACTGGTTCCCAGAGGGTCGATGTGAATTCCAGTTCCAGAGCGTGGTGGGCCCATCACAAACCACCTAAAGGATGGAAACATCCAAGATGTGAAGGGTAATTTAACACACACACACACACACACACACAACACAAAATAAGTTTCTAGTTTTATACACTATATTATGTTATTTTTATTTCAGAGACTACACAAATTCTGTTACATAGAAACGCTGAGTGAATTGTGCATTGAGTGATCCCTAACAGAAAAAAGAAAAATCCCTGACATGGCTTACTTATGACCTTTATTAAAACTTCCCATATAGATCAGTGGTTCAACTTTGGTTGCACGTCTGAATCACCTGGGGAGCTCTCAGAAATCCTGATGCCCAGACTAATTAAATCAGAGTCTCTGGCAGGAGGAGCCAGGCAGGCACCAGCTGCCTTCTAAGTAAGTTCCATGTGCAGGGGCAGGAGAACCACTCACTGGTCTGAAAACAGGTTAGCTGGCTAAGCCCGGCTGACACATGCTGTTGTAGAGATTGCAATCGCTTCACTGCCAGGTACTTTACCTGTAAGGGGGCCTGCGCTTCTCTCCTGCATACTGGAAAAGGTCATCAGTGAAAAACTTGGGCACCTTGTAGTCTTCCAAAAGTTTCCTCCTTTTCGGGTGTTCACCGTAGCTGCTGTCAAAGATGTAGAGGGGGCTGTCATCTCGAGTGCTCTCCATGTACTCGATGTAGTATTTCATCTTCATTTTCACGGAGTACCCGTCATTATCCTCACCACACTTGAACTTCTGGTTCCGGTATTTCCTTTTGAGGCGCTCCAAAGTCCATTTCTCCTGCGCAGACCAGCCTTCTTGGGCATTCAGCAGAACCACGGGCTTGTAAGGTCTTTCATATCGCTCGACAAATTCTTCCACCGACAGCTGTAACGCGTCTGCCCTTTCCACATTATCCTGAGGAAATCAGAATAAAAGACCTACCCAGTTAAAAAAAAAAAAAGTCTAGAGACACATAAGGGTGTCCCCCACTGCCAATTAGCAATTACATACCGAAGGAGCCAGATACTTGGAGGGGTGGGGGGTGGTCCTGCGTGCGTGCGGGCACGTCGCACTCAACGCCACCCCGCCAGGGGAGGGGAGCTCCGCATCTCCCACTTGTGGGTCCCCGACGGTCCCACTGCCCAAAGGGGTCAAAGGGCGACAGGCCTTCTCGTGGAGAGCGCCGAAGGCACGAGCCTCCAGTTGCCCAGGAAGAAGGAGTCCCGCCCTGGAATCCCTGCCCCCTTGACCCCGACCTCCGCGGGGTGCGGGTGAGCCCATCGGAACTCTGGAGGGCCGCGCTCAGCGCGGGCGGAGCGGGTGGCCCCGGCCCCGGGAGAGGTGCGCAGCGCCTGGAGACGCCCGTGCCTGGCCCGGCCCGCGATGCCCGGCCCCCGCCCTCGATCTCCCCGCGCGATGCCCGGCCCCTGCCCGCTCACCCCCACGGCCGCCGGGTTCAGCGAGAAGCTCTCGTAGTAGTTGTGCCGGGTCCAGTCCAGCGAGTCCTTCAGCTCTGGCCGCGCGCTCCGCTTAGCCTCGCGGATGCGCTTCTTGCTCTTGTGGTTCATCCTGCGGGGTCACCAGGTGGTTCCGCGACCACCTCGGCGCAGCTCGCTTCCTGCCACCAACGCGCCCCGCTCCCCGGCCCGGGCGGCGGCGGCACCCAAACGCCTTTCGCTCCGGCCCGGCGCCTTTAAAGTCGCCTTCCAGAAAATTCACTCCCCAGCCACCTCCCGGGCCTCGGGTTGGGCATGCGGCTGCCGTCTTCCCCGCCCCCCGGCCTCTCGCGGTAAGCCATTGGCCTCGGCGCCTCCGGGGCCCGCCCTCACACACGCCAGGCCTCCGCCATGTTGGGAAGGTCGGGCCAGCCCAGGCTCCGCCCACCGAGGCCCCGCCTCGCCCGTGCACGCTTCCGGTGGCGCGCCACTTCCGGCAACGCGCCTCCTCTCGGGCCCCGCTTCCGAGCGCGCTGTTCTCGGTGTCTCATTTGCTTGCCTTCGGGTCGTTTTTTTGCTGGGCAGCTATCTCGTCGCTGGAGGGGTGCTTTCTACCTTCTTGCCATCGGGTTGTAGCTACCTGACGGGGCCCACGGAGGGTCACGTGGTGCTGGGGAGGCGGCCCCGGCCGGTCCGGGGGGTCCACGCGTGCACACCCTGGCAGCGCGGCGCCCTCCGCTGCTCCCGGACCGCCCCGGGGCCAGCGACTGCCCTCCGGGCGAGCGTGGCCTCCGAGGACATGTGGTCCGGGCCCAGCGCTTTCGGTTCTCGGAGGAGCCGGGCCCGGGAGCCGAGGGGGCCGTGCTGGAGGTCCACGTCCCGCAGGTGCGTGCAGCGGCATCCGCCGGGCGCCGCCTCCGGTCTTGGTGGTGGCGCCTCAAGCAGGAGCGGTTCTCCGACGACCTGGGGGTTAGGAATGGGGATGGGAGGTAGTCCGCGGCTTCCCGCTTTAGAATGCACCACAGAGCGAAAAGGTTTGGTATAAAGCCCTTTGGCACATTAAATGTCTTTCATTAAGAAACTTGGGGACCCTGCCAGGAAGGAGGAGGCCTCTCTACATCGACTATTTCCTGCCAGACAAGTGGCATTCTTGATACCTAATATTTTCTTTGATCTTGTTGAAGAGGGTCTTAATTCACCTTTATCTGGGACCAGAGGTTCCAACTCTCACTGCTCAAATAAAGTTTCTGGGGTTGGCACTCACTTCTTCCTTTCAGCTCATGGCTGCCCCTAAACTCTCAATAATAATTATACTTTATATACGTCCAGTTTTTCCAAGTACTTTCACGTTGTAGTGTTTCATTCGATTTTAACAGCAGCTTGTGGGGTAGGCATTAGTAATAACACTTTAAAGATGAGAAACAGCTTAGGAGAAGTTAAAGGCTGGAGTGGAAACCATTTCTGATAGTTTCTAGACGCCTTCACGTTGAAATACCCGTTTGGAGTTCTTCCGAAATTTAGGGGGTGAAGATATACCCTGTGAGAACAGAGGCCCCTTTTCTTTATACCCAAATCTGCTGACCCACTCCTCTAATCGGAAACCCTTCATTGTACTCCTGGGTAAAATCCACCAGGGCAGACATTTTTGTCTCTTAATGGCGCTTGTACCCCCTACACTTAGAGAACCACTGTTCTGAGAATATATATTTTAGTCACTGATTTTTTTTTTTTAAATATATATATATATATTTTTTTTTGTGAGGAAGATTGGCACTGAGCTAACATCTGTTGCCTATCTTCCTCTTTTTGCTTGAGGAAGATTAGCCCTGAGCTAACATCTGTGCCCATCTTTCTCTGTTTTGTATGTGGGATGCCTCGACAGCATGGTGTGATGAGCCATGCATCCGTTGGAGCCCGGGATTTGAACCTGTGAACCCCAAGCCGCCAAAGCGGTGCGCGCGAACTTAACCACCATGCCACCAGGCCATAGGCACTGATATTTTTGAGTGGATTGAATGATTAAGTTCACAACTTCAGTTCCTTCATCTCTGATATTTTTACCTCTTCAGCCCCCTTCCTACCACCCCACTAGGGGCACCCTTTGCTCTAGAAAACAGGAAGACTTGCAGTTTTGCAGTTGAATAATTGCTAAATGAATGCTTATTTTGTGCCTGGCACTGTACTAAGTAGTTTGCATCGAATCTTCCTAATCACCTTATGAGACAGTATTTTGCAGTTGAGGAACTGAAGCACAGACAGGTTAAATAACTTGAGTGAGGTCACACAGCTAGTAAATTACAGATCTGGAGTTTGAACTCAGGCTCATTCCAGAGGTGTGAGCTATGTTATCTTGCCTCCCTAAATACCATGCTCTCACAATTCTATGCTTTTCCAAAGGTTTTGTAAGCTACCTGCCTCCCTAACTCGGAGTTCAGCTCCACTCAAACCTCTTCTAGGATGTCTTCCTAGGACCACATGGTTTCTCATTAGCATACCAAGTTATGCCTGTGCTTAAAACCCTCCAGTATCTTACCACATTTAGAAAAAAAGCTAAACTTCCTGTGGTCTACAAGACCTCACGGGTCCCTGCCACTAGCCCCCAAGCCTGTGCTGCCAGTATTTTCTGTGGTCCAGCCAGAGGCCTTTCAGTTCCTGCTTCAGGGCCTTTGCCTGAATTACCCGCTCTCCCTATCTAGAGCAGCCACCTTTTGGTCACTGAACCCTTCCATCCCCCTCCCCCATTACTCTCCCATCACCCTGTTTTATTGTTTGTGGCATTATCACCAACCAAAAATATCTTTATTTGCTTACTTGTTGCCTGTCTCTTCCCAGTTGGTTATATAAATGCTCCATGAGAGTTACATCCTCAGCCTAGAATAGACACTAAGCCACTCAGTCCCTGGATAAATGCTTGTTGAATGCATGAGTGTACGGAGTGCTTATCACATGGTATGGCAGTTTTATATCCCCACATATTTGTGAACTGGAGAGCAGGGAACTGTCATTTTTGTCATGGATGCAAGTGCCAGACATTCAGTAATTGTGGTATAAATATTCCAACTTCCAGCAGATGAGTTATTTATGGCATACAAAAAAATTCTTTTCAGGTCCTGCATCTCCAATATGGAATGTATGTTTGGCCCTGTGCTGTGGTCCTGGCCCAGTACCTGTGGTTTCACAGAAGATCTCTGCCAGGCAAGGCTGTCTTAGAGGTACAAGTGCCCTTGAGGTTTCCAGAAATCCTGTGTTCAGATTTAAGTCTACATGCTTATTATTAGCTTTTGTTAAATATTTTAAAATCAGGGGTGTTGTGGCCAGCCTGTAAGACATGTGACCTAAGAATGCTTTTTACACTTTTCAAGTGTTGAAAAAATATGTGGAGACCGTATGTGGCCCACCGAGACTAAAATGTTTACTATCTGGCCCTTTAGTTTGCTGACCCCTATTCTAAGTGAAGCCTGTTGACTAGTTAGTAATGGAATCTTGGCCTGGAAGCACTTATTAAGGCTGTCTTTCCAGGTTGTCCCAACAGGCTCATCCAGGCTCTGCTGTAACACCTGCAGTGTTTCTCAAAATAGCCCTTCCCATTTTTGGAAATCTTGAGATTAGTTTTAAAATGTATCTCATGCTTTTTCTCATCACTCCACCTGACTTGAGAGTGCTGAAGGCTTGGAGAAATAAACTTTTGTTGTTTGTAGAAATGTACTATGCTTAAACCCAAAGGCTGGAGACAAATCAGAAGCTTAAGAACACCTCTTGGTTTTCACAAAAACATGTAACTGAAATGAAGGGTAGAGAAGGCATCTGGCATACTTCTGGCCCAAAATAGTGGTAATTGTTAGGCATTCATAAAAGATCAAGAATCTCTATGCCCATTCTCAAACTGAAAAATGGGAAGCTTGTGTTTCAATCAATATAAATGTTAACACTTATGAAGGCATTCCTTGGTATATTCCTTAGTATGTTTAAGTGTTTGTCACTTTTTTCAAGACTCACCTGGGAAATCCCCTTTAGTAGAAAGCCATGTTGCAGACCTGTCAGGCTTTATCCAAATAAAAGCAATTAAAATTGGTAGTAACTGAATGGCTGGCTGTGCATGCTCAAGCCACCCAGAGATTCTTGAGACCTGGTGTCCTATTTGATTAGGAGCTCCTTAACTTATAGACCAAAGAGAACTAGAAATGACAGACCAAGTGTCCCCAAACTACTTCCCTGGGCATCTTAAGCAATGAAACTGCCTGAGACACAGTTTGGAAGCAATTATTTGTCAGTTGCAGAATACAGGGCCCTGTTTGGGAATATAACTGCCCTTTGCCCCAATTAGAGGAATCAAGGAAATAACTTCTGTCCTAACAAATTCAAAGCCTAAGCTTCATATAGTAAAGCAATGTTTATAATCATGGCATGTTTTATAGACATGACAAGCCCAAAAACATAAACACATTGATCCTATACTTAAAGATCAATGCAGGAATGAAATGGGGAACTATCTGCCAAGACCCCAAATTCTTTGCAGTTCTAAGCACAATTTTCAAATGCCATTTTTAAACTTGTGTTATTAGATAGGAGCTGGAGTGAGCCTTCCAGGAATTACAGCTGCAAAATGTGGTGCCGAAGTAACACTGTCAGACAGTTCAGAGCTGCCTCACTGTCTAGAAGTCTGTCGGCAAAGCTGCCAAATGAATAACCTGCCACAGGTGCACATTGTAGGACTAACATGGGGTCACATGTCGCAGGATCTTCTGGCTCTACCACCACAAGATATTATTCTTGCATCTGATGTGTTCTTTGAACCAGAAGGTAAAACTTTTTTGCTCTTCAATAGTAAATTTGGCCAGAGATGCAGTGTTAAGTAGAAGTCTATTAAGAATTCCTTTCTTTCCAGACTTTGAAGACATTTTAACTACAGTATACTTTTTGATGCAAAAGAACCCCAAGGTCCACTTATGGTCTACTTACCAGGTAAGAAGGTAAGTCTGAATAATCCTGGTTTACTCTCAATTTTATTAAAATTTAAGCCTTACTACTCATGCAATGCCTAGCGTAAGGATAAAATGAAAATGGATCTGAAACAAAACAGGAAAAGCATGACTTTTAAAAACAATTTATTTTCGTCAGTGCTGACTGGTCACTTGAAGCTTTGCTCTACAAGTGGGATATGAAATGTGTCCACATTCCTCTGGAGTCTTTTGATGCAGACAAGGAAGATATAGCAGAATCTACCCTTCCAGGAAGACATACTGTTGAAATGCTGGTCATCTCCTTTGCAAAGGACAGTGTCTGAATTACACCTACAAGCTGTTTTGGGACAAGGTCAATACTGATTAGCAACCTGGTATGCCAACTACGACTCAAACCACTTTAGCTTCTTGAGTACAAGCAGTACCATCTGAAGATGGTCAGATCTGCTGGCCTGAGATTATGGTGGGTCATCTAGACAACACTCATGGGTTATGTAGCCATGAAAACAAAAATTAAAACATCTATAAGAAAAAGGACTTGGATTGTTCCTAAGTCATCAAAATAGGGCGTAAGTTAGGTTGTGAGAGAAGGGGGTACCCACAACCTCGACAAAGTGCTACCTTAGAGCACTGCTTTTAGGGATAGTGGGTGCTGAACTGGCATTTCTACTTTTTAACTTAGGAAAAAAGGTCAGTTACTAGACGTTTAACTTTCATACTATACACTCAGTAACATTAACAAGATAATTACACAGGTCTTTTGAATAAAGGGGGGAAAAAAAAGACCAAGACATATTCTGAGAAAAGCTAACACCAAGAAAACGTTTTAATTAAACTACAGCAACAATGGTCATAATACAGAATATTCAATAATGAGCAAAAAGATACACCATGTTATAAAGTACTTACAAAGTTACAAACCATTTGCTTCCTTAACATTTTCCATATTTTAAGTTCATACATGAAGATGATCAGATTTACCATTTTTAGGGGAGAGAAAAAAAAAAAGGTGTATTTATCATCAGCTAGATGTGCTCACTGTATGCTCCGTTATTTATATGCAAGGCCCGGGTGACTGGAAGTGCAGTTGTCAGGCATTTTAATAAACTGGACAGCCATTTGTTTCTGCACGACAAGGCATCTTTACACAGGAGCAATCAGGAGAAAACAGGAAACAGCCAAGCACTCTGCACTGCAACACGCCACCTTAACAGCTAACCAGCATTACTCAACTGCTACACAACTGCGCCTAGTGCACAAAAATACATAAGAGAAGAGATTAGAATTGTGTTTGGTAAACAATCCTTGCAAAAAAAAAATCAAGTCTTTTCACCTGAAAAGTCTTTATACAAATTTGGGTTCAGATTACCATTTAGATCTGAAAGTAAATAACATATACAAACAAATTTACACCAACTTTTGAAGGTTTTTAATTTTAATGAATGAAGGCAATGTTGAGTCAATCTCTTGACAGCTTTAGGCTGTGCGTAATGGCTGCACACGTTTCCTTAAAAGTCAGGAGGCCACAAATTAGGTTACCAATCTGTTTAATTTCAAACAAAAAAAGTCAGCACTATATAAACAAAAAGGAAATTTTACCTCAAATATCCAAGCCAATAATGAAATCTGAAGTCGTTCACCTCACTAAATTACAAGAAATTTGAATAACAGCAACAAAATGGCACATAAAATGAAGTTTGCCACCTGAGGCAAAGCTTTAAAACAAGTAAAAAGTTAGACAAAATGTTACAAAATAACCTTTTCAATAGCCAGTTGCTTGCTCCAAGGGCTCTTCAATGGACTGAGTGTGTGGGTCCTTTTCCCCCAAGTCCTCTGTTATGTTGCTCGTGGACACATCTAGGTTTGAAAAGAAATAAGTTCAGTTTACCTTCCATTACTATGAAGTTACTGAAAGTGCACATGGTTTCAATTTCAGGCATGTACTTACTAAGGCTCTGGTGAAACAAGTAGCTTACAGAAGGTTCCACCCAGCCATTATCACAGTTTTTTAAAGGCCCAATTAGAAAATTTTCACAATGGCTACCATCAGCATTTGCAAATTTGTGTTTATGTATTCTTGGCTAAATAACCAAGGTGAAAAATGGTAAGGGGGAGAAAAAAAAAAGAAAAAAAAAAAAGAAAAAAAAAAAGGGAGGGCTGCATCCAAACAAAAACTTCAATTACAATCAGAAAATTAGTCTATGTTTTTAAGATAAACTTTTAGTTTTCAAATGAAACATTTGGCAATTGAGAACAATGCTTTAATATCTGAGCTACTGAGGGCCCTTTCCTTTTAAAAAATAGGACCAAACGATTTGAGAGTTAAAGACACACTATCCTTTCCCCACCCAGTGCAATACCTGTAAACTTTTTTGGGGTTCCAAAAGTTCATTGCTGCTTTTTGCAATTCGTTTGCCACATCCGTTAGAATATGAAGTCCCAGTCAGTACAACAATAGTTGAACTGATCGCTTTCTCTAAGAGGATAGTGCATCTTTAACATTTAAAGACAAACCTGCTCCAATACACGCCCACAGAAACTGGTCCCTGGAGGATCAGCCAAATCAGTTAAAATCTGCAATACTGGCCAATATTCTTTTATCAAACAGGAGACCGCAGCTTTAAAGGGGAAAATGCAGACGTTGGATAAAAACAGCAAGAAATAGTCATTTTCATTCATAGGTCTCAAACAGTTTACGCAACAGCCATTATTATCTAAGCTTTACACACATCCTCTCTGCAGACCCCTCTTCAGTATCACTCCCAAAGCCGAGTTAGCTCAGAACAGCACTCCTAACGTCAGGAGTCACTGTTTTATTAATACGGATCAAAACGCTACTCCAAACCCCACTGCTGCGTTCGGGTCGTGTCTCGGACGCTCAGACATTACCATTTGCTTAAGAGGACACCGCTCCTTCCTCTTCCGGAGACTTGGGGGGACTCTTGGATCGCGACCTGGACTTGGACTCCCTCTTGGACACGGGGGGCGGGCTCCTCGACCGGGACCGGGACCTGGAGCGCGAGCGCGATCGGGAGACCGACGACGACTTGGACTTGGACCTGCGCGCCGACCTGGACTTGGACGTCGACCGCGACCTCGACCGGGTGCGGGACCGGGACTTGGAGCGGCTGTAGCGAGACCGGCTCCGGGACCGGGAGCGGCTCCGACTCCGGGAGCGGCTGCGGCGACGCCGCCTCGGGCTGCGGGCGGGGCGG